TAATGAATATATTAATATAAACAATGATTAATCGAAAAGCACAGGGAGACCATTTAGACCAAGTAAGTAGAATATATTAATATGATTAAATGAATAACTGCTGACAAAAAACATCGCAGTCTCAAAGTGAACAGGAAAGTGATCGAGCGAGCGAGCGAGCGATCGAGCGAGTGACAGCTTGTCCCCTCCCAATAACTCTACGATTGCTAACGCAATCTCCGAGTTAAAAAGGATTCAAGACAGTGTAATTTATGGTAATAAATGCAATTTAATGTTTACAGTACAGGAGAAACTATACCAGAAAGTAGTAATATTCAAATAAACACAAAAAAAATCATTTAACTCAATCTAATATATATAAAAATCATCTTACTTTTCCCCATGTGTTTCAGCTTTTCTCGGAGAACAACATCTTCTTGAGGTGGAGGCCCTCCTACTGCTCCTAGACTTGATAAATCTTGATTGTTATCACCATGACTGCTTGGTGGAGCTTCAACTACAATTTACAAATAAAAAATATAAATTTTCAAATGTGGATCAGGAATGTGTACATGCAATTTATTGTTTTGGTTCAACAGCTATGTCACATGATCAATATCATTGGTCTTCAATAATCAAATCAACCATTTTACAAAAAAAGGCTTCATATTTTGGATGGTTATCAGGACTTCAAAACATGCTGGATCCTTATTGTTTAAAAAATGTAAGTTTGTTGACAGATTATGACTGTCGAGTTTGCGAAGACGTCATGTTTCCAAAATAATATAAAATTCAAGGACATTTCAAGCAGTGTTACCTGACCAAAATTTAAATTTTCATTGATGGAAAACAGAARATGTGATCTTGATTACAATCAWCCMGATGACCATACTTTTTATGAAGGCACACACCCTACAGCTACTAATGGAAACGCTCTGGTTCAAGCTGTTTGAATTATGAGGGGAGGGGTGGGTACCCTACATAAGCTTTTCRGCGTGAGTACAATAACATTTCAAATAGGTAATTCCATAATACCTGGCTTTAATGATGCAGTGTGTGGAGGAGCAGGGGTTTCACTGACATTTGTGTTGGTATTGTTAAGAGCCATATTTCTTTGCTTGTCTAGTGTATAGTGAAAAAAAAAATTAATTGCATTTTAATTTATTAGTAAATCATTTGATAATTGTTTATCCTTGTCCACTTATAAAAACACCAAACAACATCAAAAGGTAACGAAAAATTTAAAGCATGACCATTCGACCTTGACATGTATCAAAATATACAATGTCCCCCATTGGTAATGAGATCAACGACCATTTTATCCCTAGACCTTTGGGGAAAAAATGAGCTCATCGCCACGATTAAAATAAAAAAATCCAAGTCATAAAATCTAAAGGAATCTATTGAAATAAGTATACATGACTAAGGATAACAAAGCTGTAGAGTGGTATAGAGTAACTTATAAGTCTTAATTTCACTTTCCATCGGTTTCGTACCTCGCTCCAAAGACATCATGAAATCCTTGTTCCGAGACAATTCTCGCACAAATTCTTCGTTCTGTAAAACCTGAGCCAGCTTTTCATCCTCCAAAAACTGCTCAAGTATTTTATCGTTGTTTCTGTCTGTACTTAGAGAAGGGCTGATACTTGGACTCGTGCTTCTTTTAGATGGAGGAATGTGAGTAAAGCGAAGGAAGTCATCTGGTAGGTTGCCAAGTAATGGTGGATTCCAAGCTGAATATGGTCGAGCTGGTAAAGGTCTCCCATCGCTTGAATCACTTTCTTCTCTAGGAGAATAGGCGGGAGGAGGTTCCCTTGGTCCTGTATCAACATACGACGGCAAATGAGGAAAKTCTTCCTTAGATTCATCTCCAGCGCCCATAGAAAGCAACTGATCTATGGTAGCGTCGACGAGTCCATTGTTGGCTCTCAAAACAGCCTCTATAACCTCAGTATCCATACTGGGAAACATTTTTTTGAAGTCCTCCATTGCTGAGGTAAACTCTAGCTGCCTTGGACTGTCGTTCTTTTGACTATTAGGGTTACGAGGCGGCCGAGATCGAAGGCTTTGCCCAAGAGCTGGACCAAAGGCCGCCATTTTGATGCTTTCAGRTTTCGTTTATAAACTACCCCAAATACTCGACCCAGTAGACAAAAATAATCCAAATATATCCTTAGAAATTAATTCAGCACAGTAGCGACGACGATCTTAGGATTTTTCCGACGAAAACTTCTTCTTTTGAGATCSAAAACGTGTCCTAAACTTTTGTCTTGAATGTGAGTATACTTTGTTTGGTGTTCCGACAAAAAGTTGTCGTTACCAGATCCCCGCCGAGTACGAGTTTGGTTTTGACGTGTGGCGTTCTTTTTTTTTTTTTTTTTTTTTTTTTTTTTTTTTTTTTGTGGGATAAAAAACGAACAGCAGGAAAAAAAACTAAATCGCTGTTGGATTTTACTCTAAAGAGGTCTCTCAAAGCAAAAAAAAAACATAGCAAAAAAAAAAACATGAGAAGCCTACTCATTCCGACATCTTCCGACATACACATTTTTATGCCGTATACGCAATGTATTGTGGGATATGTTTGAGACAAAACCAATTTCCAGAAACTGATCCCACAATGCATTTCAAATTACATGGGTGACATAAAAGCCTAAGAAGCCTGACCATGCAGTGACTCCTGATGGGATAACTGTGTAGTCAGGCGTTCCTAGCCCTTCCAAAAGTTTGGGCCAAAGAAACACAAAAGGGAGCAAACAAACCCTGGCTATGCATGCAAGATTGACATTCTTTTTTCATCTTTCTTAGATTTATTAACCTCCCATAGAACATTGGAATACATTAAAAGATAGAAGATGGCCAGTTAGCTTTCTTTTGCATTTCAATTAAATTTTTGAAGTGAAGTGATAAGTTATTTTTCTAAGAAAGTATTTTTGTAATTCGGCCAGTATATTCTTTTCAATTATCCTCTTATTTACCACAGTTGAGTTGGGAGTTGGGTCATCGAATCGTCTAGATTGTTGTAGATTCATCATGAGACAAAGTCGAGTGGATACAACAATCTAGACGATGAGATGATCCCAACTGTCGTGATAAGGACAAACCAAGAAACTATTGCGAATGTTTTTTTACCACAAATACCGTATTTACCCATGTATAAGCCGCTCTCGTAGATAAGCCGCACCCCGAGTTTTAGGAACGTTTTTGAGGAAAAAAAGACGGAAAATAAACTTTTCTCTTTTTGATCGCCACTTGCGAACACAGCTTTCTTTGATTAATAATAATATTAATCATAATAATAAGTGCTTAATAATAAGTGCGGTAATTGTTTTACCAGTACTGCACACGTTTGCAAGCTAAAAGAACAAGTGAAGTCTTATTTCAAACTGAACCAATACATTTATTTCAACAAATAATGGTATTACTTTTTTCGCTTTGTCTGCCCAGTCAGAAATTTCCAATGACAGAAAAGTCGGGAAAGTACATTGTTTTTCTTTAAAGTATCAAAGTTAATTGCAAGCAAAGCAGCGACTGTGGTATGTACTTTTATCAGAAACTCATAAATTAACTTATGAGTTTCTGCTTTTATTTACTACGGCTCTCGACCAATCAGAAAGCGAGAAAATTATCATATATGGTAAAAAGTTTCATTTTTTCAAATAAAAAGAAAAAGACAACAAGTGATCCAGTCTTTATCAATTTCATTCATTTATAKATGCTTGCCAATATTCGACATGACCAACACTTTATATACATGTAGTTAGAGAATAAGGGAGTGATCATTTTTTGTCGGGAGGGGGGGTCTGGTGGTTTTGAGGGGGCACCCAAACAAAAAACCATGTTAGAGGGGGCCCATGCAAAATTATTATAATCAGTTCCGAAAGGCTAAAAACTTCAGCAAAAAGATGCAAGTTGAACAATATTTTCAGTATATCAGTTTATCTAAATGTTGTACCTTTAGCTCCTATTTTCTACACTAACAAGATAGACTACATATGTACTTTTAGGGATGTTGAAGATTGTGGACTATGTCCCACCCCTTCTTTAAATCTCTAAAACTAGCTGCATCATCAAACAACATCACAGCAAAAAAGCCTTATATAAAATCTAAACTCTTAGCAACCCCAAGAGTAAACATGCTCTGACATCCCTGACCTTTGCAATGGGGTGATGACAAAATTCTAGATTATTAGCTTATTATTTTTTTACTACTATRAATAGTAAAAATTGTATATTTTTGCAGTCATACTACTGTAGATGCGTTTTGAGTTCAGATGCATTTTTGTTGGTAATTTTCCCTTTCTGCCAKTGTTCATTATTTTTAGTRTGTTTTTGAAGTCACAGCATGAAAATGAATTGTCTCTKCTCTCATCTTTTAACATCACCAAGGTCTTCTATGCTATCTTCATCAATCTAAAAGGAAAAAAAAAGTTTTGTTTGGTCCTACTACAACACTGTTTAAACAATAGAGTAGTTAAATCAGGGTCATCAGTCAGCCTGTGATAATTTTTGACGGAAACTGAATGTTCTGAAAAACAAGTAGTTGCCCGAGAGTGAAATGCAGTGAAAATTATTGCTAAAAACTATTTTTATTAAGTAGAGCTTCCTTGGTTTTAATGATACAAGCCTGATCTTTTCAGCCTTTTGGTGGCATCTGTTCAAATTCCCCCAGCCCACTGGTCTGAAGTATTACCACTCATACTATGCTTTGGAAGACCCAGTGACGTCACTGAATCTCTCTAATTACCTCTGGCCATTTTTCAGGAATAAAGTCCCACAGGTCATCTGTAACRTCACCTTGAATGGATATTTCATCATCACCACTAACTGAAGAACCACATGAAAATTTTTGTGCAAATGCTTTTGCAGCTTTCTTTGAATCGATTTCTGTRGAAGACATAACCAGGTGTTATATTACAATGATACATATGAAAATAATAATTTTGACTATTATTTCTGATGCATAATATGTTCATATGTTTTTAGAAATATTGACAAAACACTGAAGTTACCAAATGTTGCAAGTCCAGTTACTATGGTAACATATTTCTTTTTATTTCTCTGTGTTCTTGAAATTTGGATTTTCTTTGGTGCATTCTACATGAAGAAGAAAATCAAATGAACTAAGATTACAAAAATATTCATGAATAAAAAGGGTTRAGACAGATAAAGTACATTCTCATTCTACATCGTTACTGCTAGGGTGTCAAATGATTATTCGAAGAATTTACATGACTTTGAGAATGGGGTTTTAGAATTCAAGATTGACATACAAAATTAAGTTAGGTCTATCAATTAGATGAAAAACAACAAGAATTGGCTTCTTTTCCTGGAAAGTTTTTTCATTGTACCATTCTAAACCCTTAACAGTAGCTGACACTAGCCAGTAGTTTAAACTTGATTCATTTACCRGTAATTAATCATTATTAGAAGAAAAAGAAATACATAATTATTAAAAACCTTTTTCTTTGGTAATTTTATTTTCCCTCGCCCTCCTCTTGTCTGCCTCTTTTTGTCTTTATCATTGATATCCATTCCACCTACTCCTTCTGCCACTAAGATAAATGATCAGCAGGTTTAGTTGAGCTGCCATTTTCTTTGTTGTTTTAAATGTTACAGTAGAATAAGATGAAAATTTGGATGTACAGGTACACATATTGAATGAATGTTTAATGCAACAGTGAACTGAAAACCTGTCCCCAAAAACCTCATGTAGGGCCACAGAACAAACACATTTGAGCCTGGAGTTTAACACCGTTTTGAGAGCACAATAGATGGGCCGGGAGGACAGTCCAATGAAATTTAGMCACATTTTTGGCTTTAAGGGTCAGGAAATGCCGGGACTTTAACAACTGCCGAAATGTTAATTCCCCCGGTATTCCCAAGAGTCGGCGGTCATAAATACCTTGATTCATTTCATCATATAGATCTGGATCATTTTCTTTTAACCATTCTTTACATTTCTCTGCTTCTGGGCTAAATTCACAGTACTAAACAGGAATAAAATCAAACACTAAAGTACAAAAAGGARAATCTTTTATTTGATGAGCTTATCTACTTGCAAAGCAACATACCTCGACTGGCATCGTGCATACTGAAAGAAAAAATCGAAAAGATTTTTTATATTGGGAGAATCTTTCTGTCTTGAAGATATATACTTTGAAGTAACTTTCCGTCAACAAACMCAACATTTTACTGAAACAAGAAAAGCCATACCTCCGCAGTAKAGTAAAGTAAGTGGATAACTGACTTGGGAGTCACCTTCTTCACCGATTTTTGCCGGTCCTTGTGATTCCACTACTGCCGCCATCTTTGATTTTACAGTTTACCTCTGAACAGCACTGTCTGTGGGCGTGAAAATTCCGGAAGTGAAATTCCACAGGAAGCCCGAAATAATGACTGTGAGAACCGAAAACGAAGGGTCGGAATCTCGGGGAATCAGAGAAAAGGAGCGCAAAATAGTCAAATATAGAGAAAAGGAACACATACTTTTCTTATAAAAATCACTAACAGAAAGTCATTAACATTATAAAAGAATTAATTTTTTTTGTAGTTCTGATGAGCGCACCATTGATTGATTGATAACGAACCAAAGTTTACGAAACTGTGCCAATTTTTCCATGTACTCCGCTGTATTCACAAGGATTCCCTTGTATACACTTGTAGTCCCTTGCATGTAAGCTAAGCATTGACTAACTGATTATATCACTGATACAGGTGTAGAGGGGGAGGGGGGGAGGTAACCTAACCCTAACCCTAACCCTGACCCTGTTCCAGAGTGAGATCGCTGAAAACTATACCCTGTTCCAGAGTAAAATCGTTGAAAACGATACCCTGTTCCAGAGTAAAATCCTGAATTAGCTTGCGTGTAGACCGAATTTTTCAACCCCCCCCCCCCCCCCCTTCGGGGTTGAGATATCAAGAAAAAGGTAAGACAAATGTTTTTTTTTTCAAAATTTTCATATTTACATGCATAGATGTCACTAAATCAGTTTGTCAAATGCTTAGCTTGGGTTGCCTGTGGTATTTCCGTGCATCCCTATCCGTTACATAATAGATATGTGCTGATTGCTGTAATAATAATGAATCTAACAATGCAATTTCATCACCGGACAAGCTGCTAGTCTCAACAGCTGTCTTCAATTTCTTGTTGATTTCAGGTGAAAATTGCATTAATTTGCACAAACATTTTTGAATCGATATATTTATTTATATCTTATAGAACTTACTGAAGGTGATATGAGAGTGCTAGGAGCACAAACTAGAAGCAGTTATGGAAGCCACTACATATTAACCTGTATGCAAACCAACTTATGAAGTGATTGTTGAGTGCCTCTTACCCAGATCCATTCTTACTTGAATTTTGTTTTTTAATCTCTTTCTGGTTGCTTACTACAGTGTCTGTGAGTTTGACAAGTAGAATCAGAAATTGTATAAATACATATCAACAAGTGTGATAAAAAAATGTTGTCAAAAAACTCATGACCATAGACCAACAATCAGAAATATTCTGAACCAAATGGTCTTTTGAGCAAGTAGTGAGCATAATAATTGAGAAGCACTATTACGATCATAAATCGTTTATTCGACATGACATGTTTTGGCATTCTACTTACGCCATCATCAGAAGTGAATACATAGTAAGGATAGAAAAATATATAGCTAACTAAGCACGTGTGGATATGTGTATAAAAAAAAAAATCACAAAGACAGTGAAAGAGCCAAGTTMTTAACTTGTTGATTTACGGATGGTCGTAACCACTTAAAATGCATGGCTTCTTTTATCTTGAATATTCTGAAGGAGTTAACATTGTGGACGACAGCAGTAGACAATTGAATGTATGCCATGTATGCCATAATTTTTATGTTTTGTATATTTATGTTTTCTATATATTTCTAAATTGATTTTATCACTTGTACAACAGATAGTTTTTTACTGTGCTTGGTAATGGCAATTTGTCAACTTTTTCTTTGTTTCCTTGCAGAAAGTGGTTGATCCTGAGACGACACAACTCCTGCAAACTATCATATCTTTTATAATTGTATACTTTGATAACATCTCCACCGTCACTGACCATTAACTGGTTTTGGTGAGTGACCATTTGTTGACCCAAAGGGTAACACACCTCATCACTTGGTATTCCACTTGAGACAATAACATGTCCRACACTTCCTTCACAAGCTGATTCCAACAGAATTATTCCCTCCCTTTCTGTAGCAACAATGACATGTTCTCCATCATGAGAAAGTCCTGTTATAATACTGAGATCTCTTTCTTCTCCTTCAATCAAGCAATACGTAACTTCTTCAAGGCTTGTGTTTAACACTTTGCCATCTGTTGAAAAATCYACTGTGAGAATGCAAAAACCAAGTTCTAATTCTCGGTTCTTATCAGCACTGGTGAAGAATATCGTGTTGTAGTTTTGCTTTGAACAGCACAAACTCCAAGAACGAAATGACGAATCTACAATTCTTCTCTCCTCGACAATTTGTTTATTGTCTAAGTCAATTAAAAAGTCCGTAAGTCTCCCTCCAACAAGAAGTCTGTTGTCTGGTGTGAGTGCAACGACTTCAAACTCACAAAAACCTGCGGATACATCCAGAATGTTTTCCCCAGAATCGACTGAATGTATACATACTCTGCTACCTCGCTGTGGCGCATCGCTAAATGCTACAGCAATATAATGTCCTGGTAGGAAAATGATGTCCGAGTGACAATCATGGTCGAGTTCAATCTCGTTGACAACCTGTCCATTATCTGGGTTCCACAAGAGACAATCTTCGCAATATTCCATGGATGCAATCAGATTAAGCTCACTGCTATAGGCAAACTGATTTATTTTTTGACCTAGAGGAGCTTTCATTTCTTGAATACAGTTGTCAAGGAGAAATTTCATGGCTAAACCAAGGAAAAGTTCGAAACAGAAGAGAAGAAGAGTTAAACTTGCAGTCGTTCCTAGTCGCTTCAGWGGAGCTTGGGCCCGACTCATCACAGTCCCCTGCTCGGCTTAACCACACGAAGCCCACCCTTRCATGCTAAAAATTATTATGCATTATTATTGTATTTTATTAATTAATAAATATATGTTGATGAACAAACACAAAAAAAATCGAAAATGCGCCCTTTGGACTTGTGGATTACCTGTGGCACTATGTCACAATCCTGTACCTCGCGGGATACAAACTGGTCTGACCTTTGTGATTTCACATTTGTTAACGAATGGCTTTTTTATCACATAAAACTCTGCAAGAAGCATTGAACAATTAGTAACGATTTGCATACATTTGAACTTCCTGTGTTGGGTAATAACACATCCAACCCAATGGTTGATCTTGAATACTTCCGGTTCAAATTCTTAACTTGATCTGGTGGTCCAAATGGGACATAGTAGATAGACTGGCAGAAATTAAAGGTAGACTAATTAATCACAAACCTAAACAGCTGTTTGCAATTTCTTGGTGATTTCAGGTGAAAATTGCAGTAATTTTTGCACTAAAAATTTTGAATCGATATTCTTATGAACTCTTATGGAAATCTTGTATCTTATCTGTGGAACACAAAATAGAAACCAGTTATGAAAACCACTACAGATTATCGTGTATGCAAACCTGCTACCTGCCTGATAGGTAGTTCTCACAAATTGTATAAATGCACATCAACAAGTGTGATAAATATAAATGGTTGGAGTGCTTCTGGCAAGAAAACAACTTCTTTGCTTGAAACGTTCTGTGACCCTGGCTTCTACACATGTGATTTTGCTCTTTTTAAGTTTAAATGAACCAATGCCAAATATAGACATCTGAAGCTTTTATGCCATGTACCTAATACACAATGTATTGTAGGATGTTTGGGACACAACATGACAGATTTCTTTTGTTTTCTCTAGAAACTGATCCCACAATGCATTGAAAATCAAATAGTGACGTAAAAGCGGTTCAGAGATTTATAGCACACCACTAAATATTGGTTTTATTGCTTTTGTCATAWATTATGTGTCACCACTGTAGAGTGTGTGTGTCGAGCACTGCTTCATTTCCTAGATCTGTACATCAAATAAAAATAAAATTGCTATGTTTGCAGATGAATGAACACTGAAGATAAGTTTAAGTGGAACCACTAGCCAATGTTTTCATCAGACATGGCAGCTACAGTATAATGTAAAATTAATTTGATTTATATGGATATCTTAATTCTGTAACTTTTACAGACTTATAGCATCTACAATGGAAGTTGATGAAACTCTACATTGATAGTTATTGATACCAATCCTGAGTCCAGAGTCCTCCTGGTCAATGTCAGCAATCTACTGTTGCTTGAAAGGTCATTTAGTTGTACAACAGATAGCTTATTACATTGGTTGGTAATGGCAACTGGTTAAGTTTTTCTTTGTTKGCTTTCAAAAGATGGTTGATCCTGAGACGACATAACTCCTGCAGACTATCATCTCGTTTATAATTGTATACTTTGATAATATCTCCACCGTCAGAGACCATTAACTGGTTTTTGTGATTGACAACTATTTGGCCACATGGCAAAATACTGTCATCACTTGGTATTCCTCTTGAAACAATAATATGTCCAATACTTCCTTCACAAGCTGATTCCAACACARTTATGTSATCWTCTSTAGCAACAATRAYATGTTCTCCATCATGKGCAAGACCTGTTACCSTTCCAAACTCTCTTTTCTCTCCTTCAATTRAACAATATGTTATGTTTTTAATATTTGTGTGSAATACTTTGCCATCTGCTGAAAAATCCACACTGAGAATGCAAAAACCATCTTCAACTTCTTCTTGGCTCTCAATAGTACGGGTGAAGAATATTGTGTTGTAGTTTTGTTTGGCACAACACAAACTCGTTATAAAAAATGACAAATCTCCAATTCTTCTTTCCTCGACTATTTTTCTGTTATCTAAGTCAAGTAAAAAGTCCGTAAATAGTCCTCCAACGAGAAGTCTATTGTCTGGTGTGACTGCCATGTAGTCGAAGTCACCATAACTTGCACTATCATTTGTGACGTACAAAATTTCCTCTCCAGAATCAACCGAATATACAAATACGCCGCTACCGTGATGCGCTTCATCGATTGCTACAGCTAYGTAACGACCTGGTAGGAAAATAATGTCCGCATGACATTCAGACAGGAGTACAATTTTCTTCACAGTCTTCCCACTATCTGGGTCSCATAACAAACACTCGCCTTGGTTGAATTCAAACGATGCAATAAGATTAAGCTCTCTGCTATAGTCAAACGCATTTATGAAGTGAGAAGCTTGAGAAGCTTTGATTTCTTGAATGCAGTTGTCAGAAAGAAACTTCATGGCGAAAACAAAGCTGCAAAGTCATCCGCCATATTGATGTAAGTGAAGAGTCTGCAGTAACTGCTGTCCAGTAGTATGAACCACACCCCACAAGACACAGGAAACCCAAGCAAGATTACTACAATTTTGTCTGTGGGAATCGGCTAGTCACTTCCCTCATTGGAAATGGTGTACAATACAATACAATACAATACATTCATAACTTTGCCATCTGCTATCTACTCCCATGTACTGTTTTCAAATATGAGGGTGCCCTGATAACCAATTGTGGTGATTTTCCTATTTTTCCCTATTGATTGTTTTCACCYATTCCCATGAGATTCAAAAGATAAAAGACCAGCGGCCAAGTTGGAGGAATGAACAATAGATAGGTCTAGATACTAATGAGAAACCCTTTGTTGAAGTTCCTCCAAGATGGTCACTGTGACGTATTACACTATATAGTGACCTATAGTGAAAAGAAAGAATTTCATTTTTTTTTATGAAGTTGAGCCTGGAGTTCAAGGGTTCGAATCTCAGATAAACYCATTWTCGTAATTGCAAGAAMMTKTTTGTTGTTGTTAAAGTTAATTTGACTTTTATTACTTATAACATCACTGAATTAGTGAAAACACCTTTAAAAATCTATCTAATAAAATGACGTTGAAGAATTTGCAAGTTAGTCAGTTATGACATAGGGATTGGCTAATAATCTCCCTCATAGGTGAACTCAGCACCCATTAAATTACTTGGTGGCCATTTTTCATTGTATTATTAAAAAATTGTTTTTTCTTCCTTCTATGGAAATATTTCTTTTCTTACTACTAGTAAAAAAATCAAATAATTTGTAGTCTTTTAATAGAATATGTTTCCTCAGGGAAATGATTATCRCATTACTTAATCAATGACGTTGCAGTTGGGGTAGAGAGTGCTAGTTCAGATCTTCATAAGCCAGCMCATTTCTTAAGAAATTGTTTATTCCTTATGCAACAGGTAGTTTTTTAATGTGCTTGGTAATGGCAACTGGTCAAGTTTTTCTTTGYTTGCTTTCAAAAGATGGTTGATCCTGAGACGACACAACTCCTGCAGACTATCATATCGTTTATAATTGTATACTTTGATAATATCTCCGCCGTCAGAGACCATTAGCTGGTTTTGGTTGGTAACAATTATTTGACCAGAGGGTAAAGCATCACATTCTATTCCATTTGAAACAATAATATGTCCAATACTTCCTTCACAAGCTTGTTCCAATACAATTATGTCATCTTCTCTAGCAACAATAACATGTTCTCCATCATGGGCAAGACCTGTTACCGTTCCAAACTCTCTTTTCTCTCCTTCAATTAAACAATATGTTATGTTTTTAATATTTGTGTGCAAGACTTTGCCATCTGCTGAAAMATCCACACTGAGAATGCAAAAAACATCTTTTACACTTAAGTCGAAGTCATATTCTTTAGCTAGGTGGTTAAAGAATATTGTGTTGCAGTTTTGTTTGGAGCAACAAAAGCTATAGACATCAAAATACAGATCTGTTATTCGTCGTTCCTCAACAATTTTTTTGTTWTTTAAGTCAAGTAAAAAGTCCGTAAATAGCCTTCCAACAAGAAGTCTATTGTCTGATGTCACGGCCAAGTTATAAAAGTCACCATGACCAGGCATTACTGGAGTTTTAGAAGTGACATACAAAATTTCCTCTCCAGAATCAGCAGAATAGACAAACACCCCACTATAACGATCGGGTTCATCGATAGCTACAGCTACATAACGACCTYGTAGAAAAACAATGTCGTATTGATATATGGACGGGRGATTAATCTCTTTGACAACTTTTCCATTATCGGGATTCCACAACAGAAATTGTCCTTCTGATTCGCCGTATCCAAACGATGCAATCAGATTAAGCTCACTGCTATAGTCGAAAACGCTTACTTCATCTTGCGGAGCTTTTATTTCTTGAATGCAGTTGTTAGAGAGAAACTTCATGGTGAAAAACAATTGAAAAAAGACTTTTACTGTAAACTTTGCAGTCGTCCGCCATATTTTGCTATAAAAGAGCCTGCAGTTTAGTTGTCCAGCACAAATCATATAGCACAGGAAACCCATATAGTCAGGCTGCTGACGACCAAAAAAAGGTTTGGGCAAGAAAACTGAAAAGCAGCAATGATAAGACTGTGAATATTCAAAAAAATATAACTAGAGCTTCACAACAATTGCTACGGAACTTTGTGATCTTAATTAAGCCATGTGATATTGACTATAATTAAAAAATGTCACTACGTTTGTTAGATAACGGATTCTAAACTCCTGGACTCCATACTCTMTGATATATTAGCAAGGATTTCGCTTTCCAGAGTTTTTAATTAAATTTTTTTTCCTAGATTCAAGGTCCACTGGTCCAGTCACCTTAGTAAAAAAGTTCCAAAAACTACTGCCTAGCAAGTAAAGCCGCGTTCGCAAAGTTTTCAATGGAAAAAATAATAATTGGCCAACCATAAAAAAAATCCAAATTACATGGTGTTTTTTTAACCCTAAATTACGGACATTAGAAAACAAAAAACCTAAATCCTAGGGAACGCTAAACATCTTTTTCTAATTCAATGCAATTTGCATTGATTGTTAGATGCACTTAATTAAGATGTTTAAATCCTACGGGAATAAGAACTCTAATCTTTTTAATAGAGTCAATTAGACATCAAACATAAGCGCCGGTAAACAAAATTAAAATTTTATAGAGTCTCACTGAGTTCAAGTTSCAGAGTCGTGAAGCGTGAATCTGAAAGCAGATGAGTTAAACTCGATAAAGGTTTGTTTAGTTCGGCTTCTTAATTCGCCCTTGCTAGATTCTTGCTAGAAGAACTTGATTGTTGTTGTTGTTGTTGTTTTTTGTCATCGTTGTTGCTCTGGTTTCTTTCTCTCGAGTCATCTTGGATAGAACTGCGTCTTTTTACCCAATTCACATATGCATTTACAACTTGATAACTTTGTTTTCCTAGCATGCAAGCTAAATAGCAAAAATTAATGTCCAAGCAATTCCTGAAATTTGGTTGTCAAACTCCTTTTTCCAGCSAYTAAATGTCATTTSGTGAACGAATAAACTCAGTGCAAAACGATAGACGCGCGTAAGGGCATCTCAGACGCAAGTTTTTAACCGGAGGCACTTCATCGATTGATAGACTAATGGTATCTCAGCACTCCTTGCGATTTATCACTTTAGTTTAGTATTCGTAGTAAATATTCCCTACATACGATACTATATATTCAGTGATCATTGAAATACYTGTTGCCTTTTATGTATTACCATGGCAACTAGTCGTATTAGTGGTCTTACCGATTGCATCGGCACAGTGCGTATAAATAGCAAGCGTGAATATTCTATCTGATCAGCTATACGAAAATTCGCAATAGTTTCCTGCACAGCTCTCTGCGACAACTTGAAAAGTTAGGCTACTCAGGTTAGCTGAAGTTTTGCAATGTTCATTAGGTAACTATGTTCAAGAGGTGGAATCATTGTAACCTCACCGCGCGTATTGACTATGGCAGGGATGCCCGGGAATGACGCAACAATAACACAAAATCTATTTTCTTTTATTTGGATATTTTACTCTTGCAGTTCTGACGGACTTATGGCATCTACAATGGAAGTTGAATCAATTCTAAGTCGAATAGGGCGMCACGATGACGTTGTTGGAGTCATTATTGTCAACCCCGATGGAAAAGTCTTRAAGACATCCATGGACACWACCACTACGAGTCAGTACTCTACATTGTGCAAGAACTTATCTCGGATGGCCGAGAATGTTGTTCGAGATTTGGACCCTGTGGATGAACTGGTGACGTTTCGTGTTAGTACACCAGAMCATGAGATCATGATTGCTCCTGGTAGATCGTCAGAGGGAGTCTATCACATACTGACTATACAGACCGTTAACAAAACAGTCGGTCAATACACCTGATGGACTTTCTATAAGCGTTTCTTGCGCGCGCCTGTTGATTTCAATATTTGTTTTTGAGCATGCACCAAACTACATTCTGATTGGCTATTGAAGTATAGTTCGARTGAAGCGAAAATAATCGACGAAATGTCAACAGTTTTTTTTCCTCGTATATGTCGTAATAGTTTATGTGGGATACTATACAACGATTAGACCACAAGGTCTCATGAACCGCTGCAAGTTGATGGCATATTGATGCCCTCACTATAAACTATCATCTCGTAGTCCACTCATGGACGTTGTGTTAATTCTTATTCGTGATCTACACTTATTTCGGCAGTATTACGATCACTTGTACCTATTTATGCACTAGTCAATTGACACCCCCGCCCCCCGAACCCCGGGGAATAGCGGGGATTTTAACGTTTGAGTGGTGTTAAAATAAGACATTTCCCCTGGTAGTCGGGGGCACRTTTACTGTTAAAACCCCCGCTACTATAGCCCCGCTACTGTGACCCCGCGCGTAACTCTCYCAGTTCCCTCGWAAATCATCATTATTGTAGCGACATCATTATTATTTTTAATGCAAGAAAAAATAGACAAAAAACAGTTTTTGTTTTTTTATTTGCATTTAGGACATAACCATACTCCTGAAGGGGCCCCTTTGAGGCCCACACACTTTCTGGGTATTTTTCAAAATGGCCGACCACTAGTTTCAAGGCTCTTATAACGAGCGTTAAAATCCCCGTTCGCTGCCCCGCTGCGAAAACAATTCGTTAAAATCCCTACCCCCCGGTGCCAATCTTGTTGTAAAAGCACGTTAAAAACGCGTCACTGCCCCGTTCAGTGCCCCGCTAGTCCCGGGRTTCGGGGGGCGGGGGTTTCAATTGACTAGTGCATAATACTATATATAAATGTGTTGTCTTTGGCACCTTGCAATTTGAAACAAKTTTATGAAAGCCACACGGCAAATGAGTCAGACTTGAAGCAAGACTCGTAGACTCGTAGATTGTGGACGAAAATTCAAGGGAGTCGCGGCTGACTATGAGATACCAATTACATCTGAGGTCAACGTTTAACTCTATAATATAAACCAGTAGCAAGGAAACAAAGACAAGAAATCTAATGCACGAAAGAAACCTTAGTAAAGCAACACCAAATCAAAAAAGGCGTTGTGTTTTGTTTTTAGTCTATTTATTRGACAGCTTTGTTTATTCAGATACCCTGTATTAATTTGCATAGTTAAGCAAAATCTCCTGAACCAGGCTCTTCGGTGGGTGGAGGAGTTGTTGGRCGAAGGCAAATTGAGAAGCGATAGTATGGCCATTTAGTCAGTCGGAATTGTTTACATTCGAGTCCTTGCTGGCATTCGCACATACATCCACATTTCTGTTGAATGAAGATTATTTGAATTAAAATCATACGAAAAAAAAACACGCTTATTTATTTTAAAAATGATATAAGCGGTTCATAACCTCAGGCCGTCGTCAAGAAAAGAGCTCATATCAGTCATATATAATAGAATATTAAGTAAGTTCGGCTGAAAATAGAATCTGATTCCACTAGACTAGTAACTGAGTGTGTAAGCTGTCACGTAAATGATGTGGAATGGAGAGCGTTACAAGCCATAGGTGACAAATTTSCTGCAYTATACTTACAGGGTTGTTAGAGCAGCTCCTGAATAGTCCTCGTTTACGAATACASGAGTTGCCAAACCACGAGTAGTCACAGCATGCATTGGATCCACAATCGCTATGTGCCTTGCATTTGTCCTGTGAGTGAGAATATTTTAAAGTCAGAAAATTTATAGTAACATTACTTCATTTGAGTTTTTCATCCTGAATTTTGTAACTCAAAAGACCGAAAGAATTAAATTTTTAATTCAACATAAAAATCGTAACATTTAGCTTGCTATCATAGCTGAAACGCAATGTCACATGATTCGGGCTATGCAGTAGCTAGTTTTTACTACAACGAAGCAATAGCGTAAATTTCAAAGGAAGAGTTTGTAAGGACTGACCGTGAACAACCATCTTCGATGTCTTTCTTTGCTCTTTAAATCCCTGGATTGGTCTTCAACTTCAAACGCAACAACAAGCCCAATAAGAGCCAAAATAACAGCAGTCAACAAAATCCTCATTGTTACGATTATCGGTGCAGCATGGCCGATAAACTGGAAACACTAGCTTTTTATACTTACTCGCACACTATACAATGCTTTGATTTTAAATTTCAATTCTTCACGCTGAAATAAAAGGTTYACTTCCAATGATTACACTAAAGTCCTCGAAATCTTCAAAGTTTTRTTGTCTTTACAAGCGAATAATTGTTAAATTGAAATACAGCAGAAATGGGATAAACAATTATAAACAATACAGGCGTTTACTCAGGAAAAATGTGTTTTTAAGTTTTTGTATTTCCCGAAACCAGTTGAATAAACTCTAGCTCTAACAATACTGTAAAGCTTTTAAAAACCACAGATGTATTGTGTACACTATAGACTACACTATCATTATCTCTGAAATTGTGTCCAATCCAATCGTATCCTTACAAATATAGTTACTGCTCGTGCTACCATGACAAACAATTCCAGGAATTTTCCTAATCTTTAATAAGCGCTAGAATTCGAATTTTTCAGTCTATCAGTTGTGTGTTTAACCAGAGCTACAAAACGCTCTTTTGCGGGTTTCAAAACTAACTGAACACGCGCGCCGAATAGACTTCAATAATTGCATGTTGAAAAGACATGCAAACCAGAAGGGGTTAGTCACGTACGGACTAGGAACCGAATAATCACCTCCCTCGTGGCTGGGCGCATCGGCCACTCCACTTGGATAGGTGACCGTTTCGTACTAGATTTTTTTCCCTCTCATTCTTGTTCTTGTTTTTTCCTTCGGTTATAATTTCTTTGGCTAGTGCTGCTATTTATATTTCAAAATGTTTAAAAAATCTTTTTTTTCTAATTTTTCGCCTTTTTTGCCTGTCTTTCCCATACAAATTTTCAATTTTATGATACTTTACACGTCAGGTATGCTCATGCAAGCAAACGCTCTATTATTACAGGTTTCAAAACCAAGATAGCTACGCCGGCGCGCCTAATAGACTACAATAATTGTACCTTGAAAAGACATGCAAACCAGAAGGGGTTAGTCACGTATGGACTAGGAACCGAATAATCATCTCCCTCAATCGAGGGTGGGTGCAACAGCCATCCACTTCGATGGGTGACCGATTTGTACTAGTTTTTTTATATATTTTTTTCTTTTTTGAAATTGTTAATTTGTGTGAATTCTTATTTTATAGGAATAGCATTTCTGGAAGTAGGAGGATCGATATTGAAGCGGCATGAAGAAAATAAATCTATTGCTAACATCTTTTTACAATATAAATTTCAGAAAAAAGATTATTTGAAAAAAAAATCCAAAAATAGCATGAAAATAGCATTCAATTGGAAAGGCTCCTTTTCCAACTCTACCCCATTTATTTAAAAACTTTAATTTTACGACCATTTCTCCAAGARTCCCGTAACGAAACACTCCTGCTTGTTTATTAAAAAGTACATAATTTCACTTATATAGTGGGAGTATATTGATGCGGCTTAAAATAAATGTGCATTGCTAACATTATTTAACAATACAATTAAGTTCAAAACATAAAGAAAATATTTTTAAAATTACCATCAAAACGGGGCACCCATCCAACTGGATGGGCACCCGTTCCACCTATGAGGGAGATGATTAGCCGGACCCTAAGCACTAAAGACTAACCCCTTGTGTTAGAAACTAAATACATCGTCTAAGATTTATACCATGCACTAGGTGACCCGCTCTGCCATGTGGGACCGAAAAATTTTTCATTAAACAAAGTTTATGATAGTTTTGGTTCCTTTTCTTTCTTCGGTTATACTTATTTTTGTTGGTACTTATTTTTTCCTTTTGTCATTTTTTTCTTCTTTTAAATTAATTGACAATGCTTCACCGGAGAGTCACGCGTCTTGCTTTGATTGCGTTGCGCCTGGTACGTATACGTAATACATCATGAGGGTACGGGATCGAACCTTGCATTAAAAACTTATTTTTTCTCTTATTTTTTTGCCTTTTTTCTGCACTTCTCAAATAGGTAGTTACAATTATTTTCAAATTTTCAATTTTTATGATACTTTAGACGTCAATCATGCAAGCAAACGCTCTTTTTATTTACGGGTTTCAAAACTAAGGAGCATGCGCGCCGAATAGACTTCAATAATTGTATGTTGAAAAGTCATACAAACCCAAGGGGTTAGTCACGTATGGACCAGGATCCGGCTAATCACCTCCCTCGAGGGTGGGCGCAATGGTCATCCACTTGATAGGTGACCGTTTTGTACTAGTTTTTTCTTTTTCTCTTTTTTTCCTCTCCTTCTTGTTATTCTTGTTCTTTTCTTTTTTTCTTCGGTTATATTTCATTTCATTATATTAATACTGCTATTTACTTTTTAAAATGTTCAAAAATATCGCGCGTCTTGCTTTGATTGCGTTGCGGCAGGAGTCGTACACTCTACATCACGAGGGTACGAATAAAAGCAAGGGGGTACAGGCTACATTGGGGTACATGATACTTGGGCCCTTCAGTTTAACAAAATCTCTTTTTTTATCTGTAAATTTCCGTTGTCAAATTTCCATGGAGAGTCCGACGCGCTGGCCGAAATTTGTGGGACTCCTGTGTCTAGTCACCAGGGACGCGAACATCAACACAACAAAAATGGCGGATTTTCTTGAAAATGTTGAAGTTGGACATTATCGGTCRTTAGACTTACCAAAAAACTTTGCATTGAAGTAAGTAGTTTTGATTTATGTTTATAATATTTTTAAAAGTTTAATGTTCACAACGTAAGTAAATTCCCTGACTTTGTTAGCTTTAWAACGAGAAAAAATGGCATTCTTTTTGTGTTTCTCAGAGTTAAACTTCGCAAAACAACGGCAAGTTTTCTCCCAGAGTTCAACATTGGCTCGCAACAAGGCATTAACGCTGATGATGGTGCCGAAGCTGCTGGAGAGGCTGTCGAAATGCCAGAAATTGGACGAAATCGATCACAAAATAAAGGTATTTGTCTATGATAGCAACTTTCGTAAACATGGATCTAGAAAATTTAGTGATGTACTTCACATTGTGCATGATGAAATCGATATTACACAGGGTAATGTTGATTGTAGGTTTATCAAAAACAGATGAAGAAACAGAAGAGTTTATATTTCACTGGCAGCAAAAAGCATTTTCTCAGGTAAGACTTGTACTGAACTCATAATCAGTATTACATGTCATTGACCGATTTTATTGTCTCAAGTATTGTACAGTAATTAATGGAATGACTTGTACATAGCTACTTGGCTATGGCTACATAGTTGACAGTCAGAATCCAACTATCAGTCTCCCTGTGTCT